CGCTTAGCTGCGCCGACCCGCTCGCCGCCTTCCCCAACCGCTCGGCGCCCCTCGTGCCTTGCCGCAGCGGTTGGCGCTACGCCCAGGCCCACTCCACCATCGTCACCGAGGTAAGGTGCGCCGGTCCGCTCCTCACCCGAGGAAGCTGCGGGTCGCGTCGCTGCTCAGGTCTCCGTCGGGCTCTGCCAGAGGGAGAAGTCGGTCACCGGGGAAGGTCCGTGGAGACGCGGACTTGTTGGCTACCTCTGGGGACCGACTAGGTTCACCCCCACGTTCGGAGAGCTGACTAGGAGATGTTTTTGTTTCAATGTGAACGAAAACTTTCAGAGCAGCCAAGTTATAGATGCTTCTGGAACATCTGCCCAGCAAAGGAAGCAGAAAGATGCGCTTTATTTTTGAGATGTGTTGATGCAGTGACTGGAGGTGATGAGTCTAGACTCGGAACTTCTACCTCTAGGGATGTCCGCAGGTTTGGACGGCTTGTTGTCCCGGGGCAAAGGAGAGGGGAAATCTACCTTTGAAGGCCAGTGCTTTTCCCAGTCACCCAAATGATTATCCGATAAACCAAGGGATAAAGGTCGAGGCTCTCCTGGGAAATGGTTGGTAAAACTGCCGTGGGGCAAAGAGCAACATCCAAAAGAAGTTGGGAAAGCGGAGATGTTGGGTAGGGTTTTTCCTGGTAACAAATTACAGAAAAAGGCAATAGGAGGGGCAGTGACTGGTGGGGGTGCGGGGGTCGGTACCCATATTTGGTTAGGAATGTTTGGTGCACAGCACATTTGGAGATGGGGTAGTCTCTGTCCCCCTTTGGTTCAGGGCTCTGTTCCTGCTGGGCAAGTAGTGTGAATCTGTGTGGATTTGCAGTTGAGTAGTTTTATTGATTTGTCAACAGTCATAGCTCAACTTAATTTGTACAAAAATGATTGAATGGGCTCAGACAAACCAAGAAAGAAAATACCTACTTCGTGTCTTTATCTTGGTTTTTGTCATAAACACTTTTTGAGCACCTGCTTGAATGATGGGAAAACACAGTGTTAGGAGGTAGGAGTGCCTTTCTGCTGCTGCCAGAGGTGGCATTTGTGGTCACCTCCTGCCTCTGGAGTTGGCCTTGAGGTTGTATGGATTCTAGTTGTTAACACACTGTAGATGGACCCATGCTCAGTGCTCTAAGGGTAAATCCATGACACCCAGGTGGACAATGTGTGTGTTTCTGTGTGTTTGGTGTCATTTAATTACTGCTTAATCCATGGGTAGGCTGGGGACCGCTATGTAAGCTGTGGTGGACCTCTTGTTAGGGATTCACAGCTGAATGGACAGGGCGAGGCCTTGGGGTTAGAGAGGACACTGTCACGGTGCTTCCCCAGAGTATACCTGTTAGGTGGCTGCTTCTTCTCCGTTCAGCAAGGCTACTTAGAGCTTACTTCCACAGCAAGAGGAGCCTGGCTTTCTAAAGACACTTGTAAAAAAACCAAAATGTGCACCATTCGAGTGTAGTTTGTGTGAGTGATGTCTTGGCCAACAAACAAGAGAGATATAAAAATATGTACACTAATGCCCTAACAGATACTTAAGAAATATTCTGGGGTGCCATGGTCACTAGCATTCTAAGGTTCTATAAAGGTTGCCTTTTGAAGTTCAGGGGCTTCTAAAATTCACTGTGAGAGGTGAATGTTTGTGGGTCTTGTCATGGTCTGCAGGTAGCTGAATGGCTTGGGTGAGTCATTTAACCTCTCTGGGCTTAGGTTTCTCATTTGTAAATGTAGGCATTGGATTAAGTCCTTAACAACACTATAAATGCCATCACTGTCACCAGCTGGTTATAGCTCAGTGTGCTTAGAACAATGGTCATATATCTTTGAGGGAAACTAAGGTAATATTTAGAATGTACTCCTTAAGGCCACAGAAAGGTTTTTGAAATATGTTAGATTTATTTATTTATTTATTTATTTAATTCTTTTCTGTACTGAGGATTGAACTCAGGACCTCACACTTGCAAGGCATGCACAGCGCCACTGAGCTTAATCCCTGGCTCAAGAGATTTCTTTTTTAAAGTCCCCAATAGTTTTGTCTGCCATGTTTTGACTCAGAAGGAAACCCTCTATTCAGGATGCTCAACCATCCAAAATAATGCATTCTGTCTTGGGGTTTAGTGTGGCTAGTATTTTGCTGTCTTCATTTCTGAGTTTGAACCAGTTCATTCTTACTTTTTGAGATTCTGTCTGAGAGGAGAAAGAAGCTACATTCTGCCTTCAGCTAACTAACACTATGAACCCAGAGTATTTTCATAGACTTGAAGTCTAAGATATTAACCACACAAATTGGGATGCATTTGGGACCATTTACAAAGCGGATAGACTACCCAGATTGCAGAATGCCTCCATGTAGCTATTAGACTTAATTTTTGCAGTGTGGTGGGGAAGAATCCTTGTTTTGCTTTATAGAAGGAAGACCCAAGGCTGGAAATGTTATAGGATTTGCCAGGGTCTCATGGCCTTTATGTAGCCAAATTGGATTGTTTAGCTGAGTCTTGATTGTACATCTGTGCCTTTTTCCTCAAGAGTGCTTGTGTCCTTCAAACAACTGTGAAACATAACACCCAGATCACTCACACTGTATAGCCTACAGAAAACCTGTTGAACCTTTGTATCTAATTTGCTTTTAGTGGTCCTATGGTCAATATGCTATTTTATTTCATTTGGTCATGTTGGGAACCACAGTCAGCCAGGCAGGCAGCTGGGCAAGCTGTTCCTTCATTTGGTGGGAATGGTTCTCTACCCTTTTGATGTAAATGCTGCAGAATGGTCACTTAGATCTCATCCACCCTCTTCCAGCTTACAACTGGAAATAATTTCCAGGAGCTAAGGCCAAGTACAGGTCTGTTTCAAGCCAGCTTCCCACTTGTGTCTCCTGCTCAAGGCACTGAAGTGGATTTCTTACCTATGTCGAATTTCCTTAGCATAGACCTTTCTGACATCCAAGTCTCAGCTTTATCTGGTTGTTGGACATTGGTCAGAATAAAACAGGATGTAATGCAGAGTTGGAGCCCTACCATCCAAATGTTTGAATTCACTGCCCAGGGAGGAAGCCTTTTAATATTAAGGTTAGAATTTTTAATGTTTTCTACATCATTTTTCTTTAGAATTAAAGGAAGACTGTTCTTTTGAAGAAAGTGCTTGCAGAAAGTTTTCTACATCCTTCGTGTGTCTCTGCTTTGCTTCCTGCACATCTGTTCCAAGAAATAGGCCAGCCTGGTGTGTCCCCCTTCGATGTTGGTGCCACTTTTACCTCTCAATGAGGATTTGTTGGGCATGTAATTATACTCTTGGGGATGCTGACAGGGGAGTTAGCCAGGCCCAAATCTAGTCTGGGCAGTCTCTGATTTGCTGTGGGCAGAAACAACATGCTTTTGTATTGTTTTTATTTTTAATATTGTTTGTACCTTCCCTTCCCCCCGGAATTACTGTTACTATTAGAATATCTTTCATTATTACTTCACATACCCAACTGTGACACTGTTTTCTGCATCATTAATTCTGTCTCTTCATTATTTGTTCTAATTTCTTGGAGTTATACTAGGTGTGCTTTTTCTGTTTAAACTGAATGTGTGGTTCAATTATTCCAGCATTTCTTTCTTTCTACTATAAACACGTAAAGCTATAAATTCGCTGAACTTCTTTGACTGTATCTGAACATGTCTTAAAATGCTTATTTTAATTATATTCTGTACTTTTGTTTTAAATTTTCGTTATTATTTTTTCTTTGACCAGTGATTTATTTGAAGACTTTGTATTAAATTTCAAATGTATGCTGGTTTTAAGAATCTTTTTATTGTTGTTTTTTTATTTAACTGTGGTGTGGTCAGAGAATGTGGTTTGTATGATACTGGTTTTTTGAGTTTTAGTGAAATTTGCTTTATGGTCTTACATATAAGAGGCAATTTTACTGAAAGTGTGTACATACCAATTTAGAATTTTTTAAAAATCTTGAGTGAATTGAACTTTTCATTATACTACATGATTCTAACTAAAATTCATGATATATTTTGTCTGATATTAATGTAGACTGTTCTGGCTTTTGGTGTGTCGGGAGTTAATGCTTATCTGGAACATTTTTGTTATCCTTGACTTTCAATCTTTGTTTTAATAGTGTGGCCCTTATAAAATGTATGCAATTTGCTTTTGCTTTTTTCTAATGGGCTTAGTCTTCTGTTAGCTTTCCATTGCTGTGACAAAATACCTGAGATAATCAATTTATAGAGAGAAAAGATTGATTTTGGCTCATAGTTTTAGAGATTTCCATCCATGGTTGGTTGGCACTGTTGCTCTGGATCTGTGGCAATGCAGAATATTATGGTGAAAGAAGCTGTTCACATAATGGCACTGGGAAGAGAAGACGGACTGGGAGTTCCATTATCCCTGTCAAGGGCACACCCCCTGTGGCCTAATTTCCTCCCACTAGGCCCCATCTCTTAAATAGTCATTACTGCCCAGTAGTGCCACAGGCTGGTGACTAAGCCTTTAGCACATGTGCCTTTGATGCACATCTAAGATCCAAACCATAACACTGCTTTAAACTGTATGCAGTCACCTTAAATTCGTCATGGCAGTTGATAGATTTGTACTTGTTATGCCATTGTGTTTTTCCTATCTTGTCCTTTTTGTGCTTCTCATCCTTTTTTCTTCCTTTAAAAAAGGACTTCTATTTTTTCTATTCCATCTTGTGCTTTCTTTCTTTGTTTGAAATTTAGGTCCTTTATTTCAAATCTTTTAGGGATTACTTTTGGAATTATTACTAAGATTATTTAACAGAACTGAGATTTATTGCTGTGACCTCCTCCTAAACCGCTGGAGATTATTAAACACTTCCTGTGGTTTTACAGATATTAGCTAATATTCTAGATTTGTCCTTTTATTATTAGTTTGTGGTGTTTATGTAGTTCACCTAAGTCAGTTTTTATACTGAATTTGCTTATCATGCCATATAGTATCTCAGCACCACCACCCCTGCCTTTTGAAGTAAATCAGTTTCTTCAGTGTGTATCTCTAGTTTTTGTTTATATGAAAATATCTTTCACTCTTATTCTCGAAAGTTAGTTTTGCTAGAGAAATGG